GTTGTGCGCGGGGTGCTGGCTGTTGTGCGCGGGGTGCTGGCTGTTGTGCGCGGGGTGCTGGCTGTTGTGCACGGGGTGCTGGCTGTTGTGCACGGGGTGCTGGCTGTTGTGCACGGGGTGCTGGCTGTTGTGCACAGGTGCTGGCTGTTGTGCACAGGTGCTGGCTGTTGAACCACAGAAGCTGCTGACTAGATCCTCTATTTATGATGGAGTATTGGTATTTGCTGAGAGATGGCAATGTAAAGAATAAGGGAACAAGTTTATAGTAAATAACTTTAGCATTTATGTATAAACCTCCTCTCATGAAAAATAATTTCCCTGCCATCTGAGGCTTGATCTTACCCACAGGGTTGAACTTGAGGTGGAATTTTTTTCTAGCATATAAATTCTATTAACTTTCTAGGTTAGAGAAGAACTTGTGTAAAGTTCAGAGTCAGCAGTTCCTATATTTGCTTCAGACCAGACATTTCCTGGTGATTCTAACCATTAGCCAGAGTTAGAGACACTTGCTTTGCTACCATTCTGTAGAAACAGAATGTATCGTGCAAAGCCGGGGTAAAGAAATAGCAAGTTTCATTTATTTAAAAAAAAAATACTGGGCTTGAGAGTTGACTCCTGGTAAGCAGTTATTGCTTTTACCGAGGACCTGGGTTCAATTCCCAGCACCTACATGGTGCCTCACAACTGCCTGTAACTCCAGTTCTGAGGGATCCAATGCCCTCTTCAGACACCTGCAGGTACCACACATACATATGAATGTATGTACTTATGTACTTGCAAGCAAAACACTCATAGGCATAAAATAAATTTAAAACTCTAAAAATTTTTTGTCAGTTAAAAAAAATATCTTTTCCTTGGGGCTGGACAGATGGCGCAGAAGTTAAAAGTGCTTGCTGTTCTTGTAAAGGACCTAAGTTTGGTTCCCAGCATCGATGTCCAGCTCCAAGGGCTCCAGGGCCTCCTTTTGGCCTCTGAGGGCACTTGTACCAAATGGTACACACACACACACACACACACACACACACACACACAACTAAATTAAATCATTCTCACAAATTAAAGATTGTTAGAACCACTAAGTTGCTATCTAGACACAGATATTGAAAGTTTTGTTGTTTTATGAGCCTAAGTGATTCCTAGATGAGTTCTATTAAACAATAACTATTTAAAAATTATGGCAGGTTCTCACCCTCACCCAAAGTGTTACCAACTTGAAAGCAATGAAAAATAGTTCCTTTCATCTAAATAAATAATGATTAAATGATACATAAAAGTCAGTGATTGCAAGAAATGGCACAGGATTATCATTATAATAAAATATTATTTTTTGCATTTATTTTACAATGAAATTAGGCATTTAGACTTGCCTTAGTTTTTGCCTGTTAGAGTGATAGTTACTCAACAGTCAGATAGGAAAACAACACATAATGAAATTCTCAATATTCCATTAGGATATTCAGATTGGTAGAAAGCTTTTTCACATAATAAATATAAAGTAACCATAGCAACTGCTCATAAGCTCTTTGGTCATATGAAAAAGAATCCTGGCTCTTTGGTACTTTCTAGCTCCTTTCGTAGAGTTACAACACTAAAAATATAAAAACCTAACAAAACACTTAGCACCAAGAATAATAAAAACATAATGATATTTTAAAATGTGAATTCTGTTTCCTTTCCCCAGGCCTCTGTGGGTTGAGTTCCCTGATGACGTAGAGACTTTTGGTGTGGATGATGAATACATGCTGGGTAAGTATTTATCAGTTAATTAGAGTTGTGATAGATTCTATAACTATGCTTTCATTATTATATTTTCTAGTGAGAATACCCTAAGCCCAAGAAAGACAACGATAAAAAACAGGGTCTTATTTAGCCCAGGCTGACCTGGAACTTACTCTGTATCTAAGGATGAACTGATCCCAAGTACGAGCTTGCCTCATTACACATGGTGCTGGGGACTGAACCTGGAGCCTCATGCATACTAGACAAGTATTCTACCAAATCAGCTACACCCCCAGCCCTCCTTCACCAGATAGTGAGACCATGACTTTTATTGTAATGTGGCCCTGACAATATAGTTCTTATTAATGTCAAATAAATACATAATATTGGTCGTTATGATTTGATGGTTTGCTTGGGATCCACTCCCCCAAAGCCTGATAAGATTGCTATGAAAAGGGAAGTATGAGAAGTAGATCAGATGGCCATAGTAAAGACACCAAGGAACTTGTGTCATGTGAAATAGTAGACCTGTTTTTTTCCTTGTGAAACAGGGCTTTGAAGCCCAGGTTATCCTTAAACTTGTAATGCTCTTCATCAGTGTCCAGATTGCTGAATTCGCAGGCATGTACTGCCATGCCTAGCTAGGCTTCTTTATTGAGAATGAACTGTGAAATGTAAAACATGGAAGGTTGTTCGTATTAAGAATGGATCTCAAGAAACAAGGCTAAATATTGAGACCCAAAGAATGAATTATGTTCTAAACAGTGGGAACCTCCAAATGTAAATAATAATAATGATGCTGATAATAACGATTATAGTAACAGGAGCCCTTGAAGATATCGTTCAGGGAATGCTCTTGTATAATGTGCACGAGGCTCTGTAATCAGTTCCCAGTGCACGAGGCTTCAGCTTAACAGTCTCTGCCTTGGAGAAAGGTCTTTCATCATCCCTTACCTCCTTATACCTTAGTTTCATCCTCCCCACTCAAAATCTTATGTAATTTTCGTTTTTCTTTGTACTTTTTCCTATTTCAGTATTTGTTTTAACCCTAATTTATTTGTAATAACTTTTTAATATCTGTCTTCTTCACTTACTACAAACTCCATGAAGGTTGGAACCATGTTTGTTTTCTTTACTCCTATGTCTCCAAAGCCTAGCATGGTGCCTGGAACTCAGTAAATAAATCTTTATTAACTAGAAGAAACAGTTCAAGATAGACACAGCAGTACATGCCTATAATCCCAACACTCACAATACTAAGGCAAGAGGATCATGGGTTCAAGGTGCCTGGGTTACATAGTGAGATCCTATAAATCAGTCTTTTACATGAATTAATTAGTAGATGCTTTTACACATGTGTGGCACCAATATGAAAGCAAACTCCAGGCTATCTGTAAGAGAAGTACAGATCTACAGTGGTAACTGTTCGAGGACAACTGTGAAGATGTGTCTCTGCCAAGGCACCTTCTGATTGGTTTAATAAAGAGCTGAATAGCCAATAGCTAGTCAGGACTTCCAGGGAGAGGGAGGAACTTTTGGGAAGAATCTGAGAGGCTGGGAATTCACTAGCAAGACCCAAAGCAAGTTGGACATACAGTATAGAGGAGAGGTAACAAGCCACATGGCGGAGCGTAGATAATATAAGCGGGTTAATTTAAGTTATAAATTTGTTGGGGAAAAGCCTAAGCTAAGGCCAAGCTTTCATAACTGATCAAAAGTCTCTGTGTTATTATCTTGGAGTTGGCCATCTAAAGGAAGTCCGACTACAGTAACTGCCCAAGCAAACGGGCCTGAAGAACTGCACTGACCAGACTTCTAGTTAACACCGTGGCCGCTCTAACCAGTGCATTCGTAGCAGATGATAAAGCACTGGGAAGGTGCAATGGCGCTTTCTGATTACTGGCGTACCAGTAGCTATGCAGAAAATGGCTGCTCAAGCCTGTAACCCTAGCACCCAAGAGGCTGCAGGAGGATCATCCTAAGGCTAGCCTGGGATGCAAAGCAAGTTCCAGGTCAGTCTTGGCTACATAGCAAGACCTTGTCTCACAAAACCAAAAACCAGAGCAAATAAGCACACAAGATGCAGCAGAATACTTCAGGGTCCCTGTCCCATATCCTAACAGCCACAGGTGGGTTTAACCCATGACCTTTTTGAGCCCCGACCTTTTCCTCCCAGTGCTTCTCTCTGATGAATTATTTGTTCAGTTCACATAGTCTCTGCCTTACAGAAGATCACAATCCAGTGATCCTAAGATCACAGTAGTACTCCACGAAGCCAAGGGAACTTTCAGATTCCCATAATGATACTCAGTTTTATCTCCTCTCCATTTTTTTAGGAAGTGCTTTATTGGTTCATCCAGTCACAGAACCACAGACCACCATGGCTTCTGTATTCCTGCCAGGGTCAAATGAGGTAAGAGCAATAGTAGACATATCTTGTGTCTCCTAGCTCTCATGCCTGCATTTCCCTTGGGAAAGATTGTTCCAGCATGCAGTTGTGAATTTGTCTCAGATGACGGTAGGTTTTCCACAGTCAAGACTGTCCTCTGAAGTTGACAGACTTAACTGGGGAAGGTGGAGAAGATGACTAGGTGACAACATTAGGGAGGTTTGTACTTTCACTTTGACTTGCAGAAGTGAGTCCTTATGAAGATGGGGCGTGACTTTAAGGTAGAAGATTTATTCCACCCAGTCACTTTGTAGGACTCTTTTTGGTAATTCAACAGCTAACTTCCTTTTCTAAGGCTCCTAGGTAAGAGTTAGGACCTTGTTTCCAAATCTCATATTCACCCCCAGAAAAGCAATGCTGTAGGGGTAATCAAGTTTGCATGGGTTTCCCTCCAGGTCTGTTTCTTCTCTGATGCTCTTCTTTTCTCCTGCCTCGCGTGTGGTTGATTTGTTTGCTGTGCGCTTCCCCTCCCCTTCCCTTTTCCCTTTCATCCTGCTTATGGTTACAAGTGTTAAGTTGGGTTATTTTCTGTGTGTGATGGGGAACATGCATGTTCCACGGCATGCAGGTAGAGATCAGAGGACTATTCTGTGGAGTTAATTCTCTCCTTCCCCATCTATGTGGGTTCTAGGGAGCAAATTCAGGCATCCAGTCTTTACCATTATTTTCTAAAACACTTCACCAGCTCAAGCATGAAGTTTTTATGAATCAGTGAACTATTATACCACACTGCAGCTTCTGTGATATTTTTAATTTTTCCCATTTTTTTCTCTTAAATTTTGTCTTATTCAGGGGTGGGGTGCAGTGGTAGAGGGCAAATTCAAAGGGACAGGAAAATGAAGGGGATCAAGATACATGGTGTAAAAGACACAGAGTAAATAAAAAGAAAGGAGAAAAGAAGAACCCTGGAGGCGTCATCTCATCGTTCACGCACACCAGGTTCTTACCTATCATGCATATCTAGCACCTAGCACAGCGCAGGTTGTTCAGTAAGTAACTTTGAAATGTATAGCAGGACAGGGAATGGTCTTTAGTTCATCAACCATACCCCTTCGGTGACATCTTCCTCTTCCTTCTCTTTCTCTTCTTTTTGAGATGTAGTCTCATGTATCTCAGGCTATCTTTGAAATATAAGATGAACTTGGACTTCTGATCCCCCTGCCTAGGATCACAAGCATGTACCACCATGCCTAAGTGCCACCATGCCCAAGTACTATCATACCCAAGTACCATCATACCCAAGTACCAACATACTCAAGCACCACCATGCCCAAGTACCATTATACCCAGATACCACCATGCCCAATTTATCCTATGCTAAGGATTGAACACTGGGCTTTGTACATGCTTTGGGGTTTTCTTTTTTTTTTTTTCTTTTTTCTTTTTTTCTCTTTAAGATAGGGTTTTGCTGTGTAGCCTTGGCTGTCCTGGAACTTGCTCTGTAGACCAGACTGGCTTCAGACTCACAGAGATCCACCTGCCTCTGCCTCCCAAGTGCTGGGATCAAAGGTGTGCACCACCACTGCCCAGCTGGAATTTTCTTAAAAGAATATGTGGGATCTGGTGGTGCAGGCCCATAATTCTAGTATGAGGACTGGAAGGGCTACCTGGGCTACATAGTGAATTCAAGGCCAGCCTGGCTAACTTTGTAAGACCTATGTTCTATAAAAATTAAAGAGACCTGGAAATATATATCAGCGGTAAATTCATTAGAATGCATGAGACCTTAGGCTCAATATCACGTAGTACATGTGCGTGCATGCACACATGCACACACACACACACACACAAAACACACAGGGTTAGGGAGGGGTGTTCTTCTTAACTTCTCCTACAAATTTTAATTATACTTATTTGAATTTTCTTTTCTTTCCTTCCTCCCTCCCTCTCTCCCTCCCTTCTTTCCTGGGATTGCAAGACAGCTTAATTGCAGGGCAAAAGGAAATAGTCGTTGGTAAGTGCAGGCTTCTCAGGGGAGAGATTGCTCATACTCTCTTTTCAATAGAGTCTGTTACTTTTTAGGTCTGGTATGACTCTAAGACATTTGCACAGTGGAAAGGAGGGTGTACTGTGAAGATTCCAGTAACCTTGGATACTGTAAGTTATTTTCAGAGTATTATCTTTGCCTATTTAGCTGTGTTAGTCTGTTTAGAATACAGCATGGGTAATAGACAACAGAAATATATCTTCCATAGTTCTAAAGGTACATGTCCTATATCAAAGTGCCAGCTGACTTGGGTCCTCCTGCATGTAGGGGGTGATGGGATGGGGAGAGAAGGGGGACAATATTTTTGTAAATGGGGCTGGAGAGTTGGCTCAGTGGTTAAGAGTACTGTTGCTCTAGGTTTGCTTCCCACTACTCATATAGTGGCTACAACCATCCAACACATTCTATCTGGCCACCATAGGCACCAGGGGCACATGTGGTGCACATACATACATACAGGCAAAACACTTATATATATAAAATAAAATAAATATAAATATAAAATAATAAAGTATTCTTGTGAGGATACTATTCCTATTATAGCAGAACTTATCCTTATGACCCTGACTCCAGATATAGTCACTTCAGTGTATGGGACTTCAGCATAACATATACCTGTACATAAGAGAAAATGGAGTATACTCGTAATCGCTTTGGGCTGTGCTTGAAATGATTTGGGAAGTAATGAGTGTGACTGCTGAAGGATACAGTTTTCTTTCAGAGGTGTTGAAAGGATTTTAAAATCGATTATGGCTATGGTTACATGACTGAATATACAGAAGTGGTTTGATTGTATACCCTAACTGTAAATTTTGAAACATGAATTATACGGATAAAGCTGTTAAGATATGTAAAGAGCTTAAAATATATATAATCTGGCTCATGGCATTGAATATTGAGGATTATGTCTAAGAACAGCAACACTGAGAACAGAAACAGTGGGCGCTGCAATGCCAAACACAACATCAAAAAGTGAGAAGGGCAATTCTGGGCCTCCAAGGAGAAGAACACATCAGTCAGAAATTAGAATCAAAGTGGCCACTCTGTTGAATCACAAGCAATGACCTCAGGCCCTGTAGAATAAAGATTAATAGACTAGTGATGTCATTCTCCAAATTGTCATATAACTAAGTTTTGTTATAAGGAACCTGGTTCCAGAATCAACTTTCAGACCTTAGTAATCTTCTACCTTAATCCCTTTGTCTTAGTCACTGTTCTGTTGCTGTGACGAGACACCACGACCAAGGTAGCTCTTATAAAAGAAATCATTTAATCGGGGGCTTGCTTACAGTTTCTGAGGCTTAGCCCATCATCATCACAGCAGAGAGCATGGCAAGGGGCAGGCGTGGTGCTAGAGGAGCAGCTGAGAGCTACATCCTGGTCTGTAAGCAGAGAGAGACACCGGGCCTGATGAGGGCTTTTGAAATCCCAAAGCCCATCCCCAGTGACACACTTTCTCCAAAAAGGCCACATCCCAATCCTTCTCATTCTTTCAAACAGTCCTACTCTCTGGTGACTAAATATTCAAATATATGGGCCTGTGTGGGCCTTTTTTATTCAAACCACCATGCCCTTCATTTGCACATGAAGAAACTGATAGTCAGAAGAGAAATTTTTTGTCCAGAATCACTACTAGCTTGTGGCAGAACTGAGACAGGTCCCTCCCATCCCCTGTAAGTTTTCTGAACTCCGAGTCTGCAGCCCATTCTACTGTAACTTTGTTCTTTGGTTTTGTTTGTTTTGTTTAAAAAAGGGAGGAATAAAAAGAAAGCAATAAGAGAGTTGGCTTCCCTTCTTGCTGCTTGTGAATTAAGCCGGGGGGCTGGGGGCACATCTTGACTACTACTCCCTCTTCCTGAATCACACATGTTCTTGTCCTCTCTTCCTTGCTAAGACTTTACTCAGAGAAAAACACATGCACTCATGTGACCTGGGCAACTCCTTACCACAGGCAAGAGGCTACCTGGCTCTTCCACAGAGAGCCATAGCTAAGGACTGATAGGTGCGGGCCATGCCCACAGCCACAGTTAGTATCCCTTCTCGTTCCCTTGATGGTTCCTGTAGCAGAAGCAGCTTCTGAGCCTCAGAATTGAGCAGTCATCCTGCTGACAAGCAGGGACAGAAAGTGTCCAGGTGCTGTGAGAAGGGACACACGTCACCTCCCCAGACACAGAACATTGTGTACACAAGCTCTATTGGTCCACTTGCATAAGCAGAGAAATCCACTCTTCAGCATGTCTCTAGAGTAACGTGCTTGTTGTTTTATTGACAAGGATGTTAAAGATCGAAACTAGAGTATCCTTTCTGATCAAGTTTAAAAGTTAGCTTTTCAGGGGTAACTCTGGGCCTCTAATGGGATGAGCAAAATGCAAATGAAGAAGAGGCAAGGATAGTGCGCTAGTTAGTTTCTGCCAACTTGACATAGACTAGCCTCACCTGGGAAGATGGACCCTCAGCTGAGGAATTGCCTCCATCAGATTGTCCTGTGACAAGTCTGTGTGGCATTTCCTTGATAGTATATTGATGCCGGAGGGTCCAGCTCACTCTGGGTGGTACCACCCCAGGGCAGTTGATCCTGGGAGGTATAAGGACTGTAGATGAACACACTCCTGGAAGCAAGCCTTTAGCAGTGTTTCTTCATGATCTCTGCTTCAGTTCCTGTCTACAGGTTCCTGTCTTGACTTCCCCTGATGAGGGACTGTAGGCTGTAAGATGATATAAGCCCCTCCCCCAAAAGTTGCTTTCAGCCAGTGTTTCATCACAGCAATAGAACCCAAGCTAAGACAGACAAGTATAGACAATAAATTGAGGGATGGTAAACAATGTCCCAATATTTTAAAATATGAGGACTTGGGGCCAGTGAGTTAGCTACGTGCTTGTCAAGCAAGCCTGAAACCTCAATTCAATTCCCAGAACCCACATGAAAGTGGGAAGAGAGACTGACTTCACAAAGTTGTCTTCTGACCTTTACACACATGCCATGACATGAATTTGCTCACACATATACACACAAAGCAATAATTATAAATAATAAATAATTTTTAGTGGACCATTTTTAGTTGAGCCATTTTCTTTTTATTTCACAGTCCCCATGCTTGCCATTTCTCTGTCCAAAAATATTCTTTGCTTGAGTCTATGTCTGTAAAGAGTATGGATCTCGTATGGTGACATAAACTTCCTTGTATGGGTGTGTCACCCCTGAGAGTGCTGCTCTGTTGCAGATACCAGTGTTCCAACGAGGCGGAAGTGTGGTGCCAATGAAGACCAGTGTGGGAAAGTCCACAGGCTGGATGACTGACTCCCCATACGGACTCAGGGTTGCTCTGAGCACTCAGGTATTTGGAAAGCCAGGTACCTCCCCCGCTTCTGTTCCATCTCTTGACCTTTTGAGGGTCTGAAAAAGTAATGAGTCTCATAAGAAGCAGTACCTCCAGTGTTTATCTCAAAGTCAAGGGCTGAATCATTTCTGAATCACTGTGAGGTCTGCCCTTCCTGGCATTTTTTGTAGGAACTCTGAGATCCAGGAATGATACAAATGTTTCCTGGGTCTACCTCTCAGGTCAGCATAGGCTGGAAAAACATTTTTTTATGCAGCCTGCCCCGGAAGATTGGTTCTGAAATTCAGTCTCCTACAGAGGAGGGCCATAAAATGTGTTGTGGTTATTTTTGTTATACCCTAACCCATTCAGTGACTTCTATTCTCATCAGGCAGCTCAAATCACTAAAGTCTCCTTGAATATGACTTGGGAGTGTTGAGAGTGTCTTTTGAGCCAAGTGAAGCCTGTGTTATACACATCTCTTACCCATCTACCGTAGTGCCTTACAGAGCCAAACACATATTCTTGCTATAGTTATGCTTATTTCTATTAATATGGTAAAATAGGAAAACTGCAGTTTTTGTTTCGATGCATTTTATTGAAACTTGTCTTCTTCAGCCAAACTATGCTCTAATACCCATGTGGGGTCCCAGAATGCAGCAATAATCTAGAGACCCCTCCTGCAGCAAACACTGTTAATAAGTAACCTGCCATGTGGAGGGCTGTAGTGTGTGGCTGCAAAAGCGGTCCTTTCCCTTAGAGTAGAAAGGGCTTTTAAAGACAGTTGATTTCATCTGCCATACAGTGATATTTTCCAGCTTCAGTTCTGTTCTGTGAACTTTCCTGTTGCATTCTGGGATAGTATTTTCATGAAAGCCATTACTGATCATACTTCATATCTAAATTTCCTTCAGCAAAGTCTAACTCTTCGTGCTCCTCTTCTGTAACCTCGCTGTTCATATTATTTTATTGTCTACTCGGGAGTGACTGGATGTTGAATGTGTAAGGACTTGTGTGTAGCTTTGTACAGCTTTTCAGGCATCTCACTGAGTTTCGGATGTTACTCTTTCCCTTTGGAAGATGACTTTTTTTTCTATAAAGTTATTGCCCTGAGCAGATCCTCTGTGGTTCACCCTGCAGGATTCTGCTGTGGGCGAGCTGTATCTGGATGATGGCCATTCATTCCAGTACCTCCACCAGGACCAGTTCTCACACCGCAGGTTTTCATTCTGTTCCGGTGTTCTGACCAGCAGGTGAGGCAGCTACAAACCTGTGGCTCTTCTCAGATTATGCTACCCTCCTGGCATCTTCAAGTAAATGGATAGCTCAAGTTTTATGTCACTATTTAGCGGATTGAGAGGTGGTCGGTGGGTTAAAGAGTCCTGGTCGCTCTCGAAGAGGACCCAGGTTCACTTCCCAACATCCATGTGGTCTGTAACTCCAGCTGCAGGAGCTCTGACCCCTCCCCCTCTTCTGTCCTATAAGGGCATGTGGCACATTTACATACCTGTAGCCAAAACATTCATGTTCAAAAAATAAAAATCATTAATAGAAAAATCTTAAAGATATTTATATAAATGAATGATGAAGGAAGGCCATTGTATTTTTAATTGCTGACCCTGGAAGCTCTTTCTTTTTCTTATCTTCTCTTCTCCAGCTGCCTACAGAATGAAACTACTTAGCTCAAGTATTCATTGATACCTTCATTCTTCCATGCACCAATTAATTAAATATCTGGTTTCTTTAAGTTTGATTAAGTCCAAGCCATCCTGTGTCTTTTGTGCCCTTTAAATGGTTTAAGGAGATTGATGTGGCCACTGATTACCTAGTCCCTGCTACATCTCTTTGTCTTACTGAATATGGCTCCTGTATGGACCATGACGCCATAGAGACAGACAGGAAGAACTCACAAGGATGCTGACCTGGTGACCAGTTAAAAACCTCGTGCCTCTCCTTTTCCTAATACCATCTGTACCTGTTTCAGGTGTGCTGATGAGAAAGGCCGTTATCCCAGCAAGTGCATAGTGGAGCAGATCTTGGTCTTAGGCCTAAGGAAGAAGCCATCTTCTGTGACTACTCACTCATCTGGTAAGCAAACAGTTCATCCTTACTTACACCTTTGTCCTGTACACCCAGAAGTATCTGCAGTAAAGAGATGGTTTGTTCCCTAACTGTGAAACTATGCTTAGCTCAGACAATCTCTGCCCTTCCTTGGTCAGTCCTCTAATCTAGAGTGAGTAGGCCAAGCTGCTTCTCTTCATGAATTGGTCTCAATGCCCAAGTTAATACTAAGAGAAATTATTGAAGGCCTATAATAGCATTCTAGGTGCTTCTTAATTTGTAATAGGTTACAGCCATCTTCAGCCCTGGAGAATTCTTAGTCTTTTAAAGAACTAATTCGAGGGATGGAGTAGAATTGTGTCCTCCCTCACCTCCTGCATTTCTTGAACAAATTACTTTGCTCCTTACAGTTTCTTTCTAACAAGGATTATACTCCAATGAGATTTTTCATGTTTTAAAACAGTCACAGGAGTTCATGAATAAAAGTACTGACGGATTCTCCTAAGTGAGGTGTAACATCATTTGAAAATGCCAGACAATGTATCAGATTTGGAGGGGGGGATTCTTTTTCTCCTGGTTTCTCACAGTATCTTTTTATTGTCTTACTATTTAGATGGTAAAGTTCAGCCTGCGGCTTTTACATACTACGCCAAAACATCCACCCTGAGTCTGGAGAAGCTCTCCCTGAGCATAGCTGATGGCTGGGAGGTCCATATCAGATGATGGGCAGGTGCCCTGGTGATGAGGGTGGGAGCCTCTGGACCGCTCACCCTCCTGCCTCCTGTGAGATCTATGCTGCCATCCAATTGGCTTCCTTGGAAAAATGATATTTTGCTCATATCAAGTGTACTGATGGCCAGTAGATTTTAGATTTAAAGATTTTAGGTTTGTGGCACCTCCTGTAATCACAGTACTCAGGAAGCTGAAGAAGAAGGATCGTGAGTTCAAGACCAGCTTAAGCTGTATCACACAAGACCTTGTCTCAAAAAATCAAAAATAAGATTTCAGATTTTACATCTAAAGATGTATTGTTGGAACGCTGTATAAACACCGCCCTTTCCACAGACTACAAAACCCTGAGCCATTGCTAGAACTCAGTGAGCAGCCCGACCTGCAGCTCCTCAGGAGGCCCATGTGTGGGGCTTGTCGCAGGGCTTGCCGCAGGCTGTCACTGCAGTCATGGCTGTTGCAGCAGCAGAGTTGCTGAAACCAATCTCCAAATAGATAACAGAGCCTGCTCCTCTCAGGGTCGCCCTCCACCACAGCAATGCAGGCATAGAGCCCTCGCCTGCAGACGCCCTCTCCTGCATGGGCAGGGCTGCGGAAAGCTCTCCCTAGACAGTGACTCAGGAGCTCAAGGGTTGGTGTCCCTTTCTTGCTTGTTAGACTTAAAAGTACCAAGTCAATCTTCAAATTCAGATGTACTCCTTTTAATTATATTTTACTAAATACTCTCTCCTAATCAAAGAATATTCATAACATGAATAAGCTATAATTAGTAATAATGAAATAAATACCCATGTCCCACAGGTGAACTTCAAAAATAGAACACAGGACTGGGACTATCATAACACAAGTAAGAGGTACTTGTTTTAGACACAATCAATAATCAAAATAAGGAATATTTTAATGCACGTCTTTAAAAATCAAAATGAATACAAAAAAAACAGGCTAAGCAAAAAATTTTAAATAAAGAAGCTCAGTGTTACTGACTTCCTTTTGCAGTGAGTTCTGATATGTCTTGGCACAGTCTTGAATATTGTAACACAGCACTGCATCCCAATGCTTCTAGCTTTGGAGACCCCACGACTCCCTGCTGTCTGCTTCAGCAGCTACTGGGGAGGCCTCAGTTCCTCAAAATATGAGCCTCCCACCACATTTCTTCCATGTAGCCACCCGCAGCTGCTACCATTCTGCCTTCTCTTTCCTTAACCACAGCACCCCCGCTGCTTCCACCCGTACAGCTTGCCATCCTACTCCCTGACACCCCAGCCCCCCAGTACCCACTGGCAGCAAGTTTGCCCTTCTCTGAAACGCTGCCCCACTTTACATTCTCAGGGATGTGCCTTAGCGCTATAAGGACGACTGTGTATTTCCCTACTGGAGTGTATATTCCTTAAGATCATGTTCTATTGCTCTCATATCTGGTATACCACTATGGTAGTTTAATGAAAAGTGCCCCCTATAGACTTGTATGTTTGAACACTTTGAACATTGGTGGCACTGTTTGGGGAGGTCGTGGAACTTTTCGGAGGTGCATCATTGCTGAAAGTATGTCATTGAGGGTGGGCTGTGCTCAGTTATAGCCTCACTCCAGTTCCTGTTTGGCTGCTCTGCGTCCTGTGTGCTGTTGAGCACTCAGCCACCTGCTCCAGCACCTGCTGCCACGCCTCCCTCGCTGTTATTAACTCTCTGTGGAATGTAAGCCAAAATAAATTCTTCTGTAAGTTGCTTTTGGTCATGGTGTTTTACTGCAGCTCCCCTCTTCATTTGCTTCCTGGTCATGAGGTAGATGTTTTTGCTTTGCCACAAGTTTCTCCCATGCCACAAGTTAGCTCCCAACGGAGCTAAGTGGTATGGGCAGGGGCCTCTAAAATGTGAGCCAAAATAACCCTTTTTGTCTACATAAGTTAATTATCTCATTTATTTTGTTGTAGTGATGGACAGTTGATTGACATCATGAGTGAATGGTCATTCAACCCAGCCTAACCCCAAAGTGATGTAAATTCAGGCCTTTCCTAACCCCTTGCTGAGTGCTTAAGACACCCTGACAGCGTTTTAAATGCATTACATGAGTTAACCTGTTTAATCCTTACACCAGCCCAACAACAGACTGTCTATCGTCATACCAGTTTTACACGAGAGAAGACTGGCTCATAGGAAGAAAGGACAAGGTAACTCAGCTAAAGTTACACACTCATAGCCATTAGTGGCCAACCTAGACTTTGACCCTGGACAGCCAGCCTTCAGAAACTGCTCTTCTTTATTCTCCTTCAAGAGTAGTGATACCTTGGGCATTTTCTTAGAGGGACAGGAAGACAAGTTGATAGTTCCAGTAGCTGAGACATAGGTTTCCTTCATGTTACATTAACAAAATTCATAAACCTAATCATACTCTCTTTCTTTGTGTGTGTGTGGGGGGGGTATATGTGTGTATGCATGTTTCTGTGTGTGGTGGGGGTATGTACATGTACACATTTACCCTGGCACACATAGAAGAGGACAACCTGGGGTGCTGGTCCTTGCCTTCCACCATATTTGAGGCAGGGGCTTTTTGTTGTTTGCTGCTGCAAGGGCTGTCAACCTGGCCCGTTTTAGGGGTTTGCCTGTCTGTATTCCCACCTCTCCCTGGATGCACCGAGATGGTAGACATGCTACTGCACCTCGTTACATGGAAGCTCAGATCCTCAAACTCATGTCAACTGCTTTGCTGCCGATTCATCTCTCCTGCCCAATGCCCTCTATTCCAGCTGTCTCTTCCCACCCTTTCCCGAGACTCCTAAACTTGGATCTGTGAAGCTGGTCACTTAGGAATAGGCACTGCTGCAAGCTCAGACAAGCCTCTCCTCAGTCAGACTTCAGATGGGGAGGGCGACATGATGGGTAAAAAGCCAGGAGGAAACCCAGCAAGCAATTCCTTTCCCCAGCTACTATCATTCTCACTTAGTAAGCCTTGAGGCTGAGTCCAGACATGACGTCCTAGGACTTGACACCAGCCTGGCTCAGTATCCGTTTCCAGCTTCTGTCTAGATGCTGATGTGGTGTGGCTAAACAAATAACCTACTAGGGCACACACTGTATAGTAGGCTTGGTCTCAGTGTGTGTCAGAAGCAGGAGGTGTCTAGGTCCCAAGAAGGGAGGGATTTCCCTGACTGAAAATTTTGCTGAGTGGCATTTTCTAGCCAGTTGGACTGAAAGCTGATTCCAGAACATTCTAGAAAAGATACTCTAATATTAAGTGACATTCTGATATTCTAACATTTTATAAAGTAAAAATCATGCTCTCTAAAACATATGGAATATGCCCCCAGAATTCCCGTGGCTTGGATTCCACCTAGCTGTTCAAATACTGTTTTCTGTGTAGCCGGTGACCACTGCTTCAGTGGCCTACTTATCTCTCCTAGCTCATAACCCACTTAGCTGGGTCCTTGTGTTCACCTGTTTCAGATACTCTCCTGTCTTGACAACACAAGACCCGCTGGGCCCTTCTCTGCCTCTGTCCGTCCGCACACTGGCCCCTCTGCTCCCCTGCTCACCGTCTCACTTCACGGCTATTTTTAGTTTTCCTGGCTTAGGCGTCTTCAGGCCACTGAAACACAACCCTCATTCTCTTTCTCTCCCTCTGGCAAGCATGCTGCTGGTAGGAGCCCCCAGGGAGAAACCGCTTCGAAATCCTTCAGTGTTAGTGCCTCTCCTTCAGGAACACCTATGGCTCCGGGATCACAGCTCGACTCTCTAAGCTGCTCATAAGCCAGCCAGCTTTCTGATGGGATTTAAACTTTGAAGTGAGTGTGGCCATTTTTTCTCTCAGTTGAAAGGATCGCTTCAACTTCCGCTTTGTAATTGCTTCCTTTCCTTGAAGGGAGCTGAATCTTCCTCTCTTTAAAAAAAACGCCGTCCTTCCAAAGTTGCCTGCCATGCCGACCGTCATTAGTGCGACTGTGGCCCCAAGGACAGGGGCTGAGCCCAGGTCCCCAGGGCCTGGGCCTCACCCGGCCCAAGGAAAGACCACCGAGGCTGGGGGCGGACACCCAAGTGGCATCTATTCAGCCATCATCAGCCGCAATTTCCCAATTATTGGAGTGAAAGAGAAGACTTTTGAGCAGCTCCACAAGAAGTGCCTGGAAAAGAAAGTTCTCTATCTGGATCCCGAGTTCCCGCCAGATGAGACCTCTCTCTTTTACAGCCAGAAGTTCCCCATCCAGTTCGTCTGGAAGAGACCTCCGGTGAGTAGTCTGCTGGCTTTGTAGCCGGCTGGAGTTTGCCCTCCGAGAAGTCCTCCCACTCAGCACCTCCCCACACAGCTGTGCACATGGGCACAGGGGGAAGGATCCTGGCAGGGGCCTGCTGGGCTCTGGCTGCAAGAGTGGAAAGGGGAGGACAGGGTCGAGTCCAAGGGAGGGCAGGCCGGGCTGCTTCTCTCTCACTGTCTCTCTTTCTGCTTTTCATGAAAGTAATCAGATCCCTGATTCATCACTAAAATGGCCATCTTTTCCTCAGAACCGGCTCCAGAATGTTCAGAGATACCTTCTCTGCCTAAATATATTGAGACTGCTTCCGTTTCTCAGGTTAAAATCATGAGATGTTGTCCTTCAGTTTGCCACTGACCGTGGATCTCAGACACAGAAGCCAGGCAAAGAGGAGCAAGGCAAAGATGACCTTTTCGAGCACAGAATCCTGGACTTAGAAGAATTTTTGTCTGTTTACCTCACTGTACAGATTAGGACGTCAAGGCCCAGCATGAAATAGACCCAGCACATGACAGGGCCTGGGTGAAACCCTATTCGCTAGCCTCAGGCTTTCTCTTACAGGGATCCACCAGGGGAAAATTATGTTCCCCTGGCTCCCTTCTCTGATCATGCTTCCAATGTGACTCTTGGTTTCGATACAAGAAACATTTCAGTCACAAAATAATCTGGAGCTGTGCATAGAGCTCACTCAGTGGTGGAGATCCACTTAGCATGTCTGAGGCCCCTGTCCGTCCCTGACACTGCTAAAAAATGGATGGATGGATGGATGATAGATAGATACATAGATACATATATAGAAGATAGATACATAGATAGATAGATAGAAGATAGATATGTAGATAGATGATAGATATATAGATACATAGATAGAAAGATGGATGATAGATAGATAGATACATAGATGGATAGATATGTAAATAAATAGATAGATGACAGACAGACAGTGGAGAGAAAAGGTAATCACAAAGACAGAGAAAGAAATATTAATTGTGCATCTACTAGCTTCACATACTGGGCAAGTCACTAAGAGTATCATGAGTAAGAAACAAAAACATACTATTCTCTTTTTTTTTTTATGTATACAACATTCAGCCTCCATGTATGCCGAGACGCCAGAAGAGGGCACCAGATCTCATTATAGATGGTTGTGAGCCACCATGTGGTTGCTGGGAATTGAACTCAGGACCTCTGAAAGAGCAGCCAGTGCTCTTAACCACTGAGCCATCTCTCCAGCCCAAAACATACTATCCTGAAGCCTGCAGTCTCGAGGGAATGGACATTAAGTTAGAGTGACATCAGGACTCAGTGTCCAGAGTGGACAGGAACAAGGAGAGCAGGCCATGTCTGGGGAGAGAAACCTTCCATGAAGAAGATATGTTAGGCTCATCCCAGGATTTGCTGGCCATGTTTTTTTCTGTTTACTAAACCAGAGCTGCCATCAGGCTCCTTTCCTCTCCCACTACTCTTTGGTAAGGCCCATCGTGGCTGTCATGAATGTCCTCCATTTAGAAGAGAATACTGCAGTGGGCCAGATGTACCTCAGCACACACTCTGCGCGTGTGAAGTCTCAGATTCCATCCAAGTCATGGGGGTGGGCAACCCGATGTATTCAGAATGCTACACCCCTTCGGCCCCTGCCACCTGTCTTAGCTGAGCCGCAGTCCTCTGGGACTAGCTCACACTGGCCTCTCACCTTCACCCTCTTCCCCAAAGCTTTATGCTGCAGCTAAACCTAGGCCTGCAGTGCCCTTCCAGGGTGTGGCTGATTGGTTCCTCCTTTCTTTCCCGGCCTACCTGCTCAAGTGCCACTTCCTTCAAGCTTTCTCGCCTCTCTTCTCCCAATGCTGATTAGAGCAGGGTCTGTCCGTGGTCATTTGTAGACCCAGCACATATAACAAGCATAGAAATACACAAGTGATAATAGCAAATAAAAACTCACACCTAAGGGTCGGACCCAGGACAGACCTGCTTCTCAAAGTAGGGGCCCCTAAAATCCGTCTCCAATACTGCTCAAAGGGCAAGGGGAGCAAAACCTACAAACACTGCTCTTACTGAAAGCACTGACGGCTTTGACCCTAAAAGCTAGGTTTGCACATATGAGAAGGGCCTATGATGCTCTGGGGATGACAGTGGTCCCTTGTAAGCACTGTCCTGTCAGTACATATGAACATGTATGCTCCCAGATATCGGACTGTTTGATATTGGGCCCCTACCACCATCACTGACAACAAAGATCCTGACTTTTCAAACCTTCATTAAAACGCCTGCACGTCCTCCCATGGTTAAAATGCCTGCGCAACCTCCCGTGGTCAAAACACCTGCGCGTCCTCCTCTGGTCAAAACGCCTGTGCGTCCTCCCGTGGTCAAAACACCTGCGCGTCCTCCCGTGGTCAAAACGCCTGCGCGACCTCCCATGGTTAATATCAGGTGTCAGGGACCAGTCTCGACAAAAATACGTCTCACCAGGGTAGAGGCATGGGGATTTAGAAATATAGTAAACAGTATGAAGGCGTGAATGAAAATAATAAACCAGAGAAACATATAGGATAGTATTGGGAGGGAATTCCAGTGTGTACTGAAATTCGCCCATGTTTAATTTCCAACTGCTTAAAATACCCCTGACCCCAAAAGTAGGAGTAAGACAAAAAGCTGCGTTAACATGATACGAGGAAATGAACAGACCAATTGCAGGTCACAGGCTTACATCCATAAACATTCTCTTGCTAGAACAAAACAAGTCCTGCTCACATCCTAGACCAAAACATTCTGTAGGCAAACCACTCCCTGGGTAGAATCCAAAATTGTTTCCTTATAGGAACTGGAACTTAGTTGGCTCCTTAGACTCTTGTTTAAGTTAGGTAGGAACAATCTACTTCTCCATTCCTGGAGTCCAAGGTTGGCAATGACCTTGAGCGAGCAGAAGTCTCTCACCTACACCTAGGTGGGAGTTTTGTTTGAGGTAGAAGCACAATAACCTAGAAGGAACTAGAGGTAAGTTCCAACTCTCTGACCTTTGGTCAATGTGGAAATAGGCTCATATTTTCGGGCCTCCAATCAGGGTATAGGGAGCTGGAGAGATGGCTCTTTCGGCTCACAACTGTATAGTTTCCCAGTTCACAGGGATCTGATGCCACTTGTGATCTCTGCAGGCTCTAGCACACATGTGGTACATACACATACACTCAGACAAACACACATATGTACATATAAAGGTAAAGATTAAGGAATATGCCCTTATATTAACATAAATTACAAAGTTGGAGTGGGTCATGGAAGTGTTATCCAAGTACTTCACTTTATATAATTATGGTCCAGAAAGGATTATGTATGGGACACAAATTAACTGAAACTAAAAAACTGAAAGGACCCCAGGATTTTCTGAACTGAAAAGCATTCTTGGGGGCTGGAGAGATGGCTCAGCGGTTAAGCGTATTGCCTGCTCTTCCAAAGGTCTTGAGTTCAATTCCCAGCAACCACATGGTGGCTCACAACCATCTGTAATGAGATCTGGTGCCCTCTTCTGGCCAGCAGACATACATGCAGACAGAATATTGTATACATAATAAATAACTATTTAAAAAAAAAAAAAAAAAAAAGCATTCTTGGAAACATCTGCTCTCCCATGCACTCCTTGGACATGGTAACCTCTGTCAGGCCTAAAGAGTAGGGACCGTGTCCTGTGAGGAAACACCCTAGATGAGGTCTCCACTTTGCTGGCATATCCCCTCCCCCTGCTATTAGTGTTAGAAACCCATGCCCAGCTGTGCTTTGCCCAGTGTATACCCTTCACTCCTTGTTTTGGCTGGTTCCCCAGCTGCCAACACTTGGCCCCAGTACCTCCCTTCAGTTGACCTGTTGCTTAGTACCATTAGCCGGAAATCTCTTGAATAAGGGTGATGTTGAAGTGGCTTTCCCAAACTGTCATTCGCCACCACCCGTATTTCACCCAAGCTGAGATCTTCACGCTAGCACTTGCTTGATCTTGGTGCCCCACACCTGGCATCCCCAGCTCACGGCTTTCCCTTTCTCCTTGCTGCCTGCCAGCATGAGTCCAGCTGCCTTGGCGAGATTTTGCACTCTGTGTGACCTGGCCTCCTTACCTCTTCGAAGAGCTTCACGATCCAGGCAGAAGTAACTCGTCTCCCGTCCTGAGGCAGTTACTCCAGGAATGCAAACAGCAGCAAAAGTACAAAACAACAGCTCTGTGTGTAGGGAAGCTTGTTCCTGATAGAGAATTCTGTCTGATTCTTTGCACATTTTTGGCGAATATACTTCCTCCCTGAGCTCCTAACCTGGGAGAAACTTTGGGTCGGGAGGAAAAAGCGAAGGATTTCAGGGAGAGAGGGAAGGAGAGAGAGAGAGGGAGAGAGAGAGAGAGAGAGAGAGAGAGAGAGAGAGAGAGAGAGAATATTCCCATGACTACGGATACTTGCAGAGGCCAAAAGAGGGCAACTGGAACTGGACTTTTAGGCTGATATTGGTGCTGGGAACAGAACTCAGGTCCTTTACAAAAGTAGTATGTTCTCTTTAACCTAAGAGTCATCTCTCCAGCCTGCTTTATAATATATAAAGAGTTCTTGACTCAGGTATGTTGGTACCTACCAGTGGTCCTAGCTATGGAGGAAGCTGAGGCAGGAGGATAGCTGACACCATCAAGTTTAAGGTCAGCCTGGGCAATATGAGAACCATGTCACTTAAAGATAAAAACAAATTAGCAACAATAAAATAGAGTGCTTCGCCTATAGGGTTGAACATGATTGCTTTTGTTTGTTTGGTTGGTTGGTTGGTTAGTTTTTCAGGACAGAGTTTCTCTGTGTAGCTCTGGCTATTCTGGAACTCACTCTGTAGACTGAGAGATCCACCTGCCTCTGCCTCCTGAGTGCTGGGATTAAAGGCGTGCACCAACATGATTGTTTTCTAGGGAGAAAAAGAAAAAGAAAAGATCTGCTGGTTGATATAAAACAAAATGAAAGCTA